CATCCTCCATGTGTCTATTAGCTGGAATTTGTCGAACAGGTTGAAGAGACGGGTTGCCATTCTAGCTGAACCTGGGTGTCTGGGTGACGTGTTGGATCTGCCCAGTGTATTGTCTGCAGCAAGGTTTCAGGGATATTTCAATATCTAGTATTGACTTAATTTATCGTATAACTTCGAGCCAAAAGTTTCGAATTTTTTCACATTGCCACCAGAAATGGGCAAATGAACCTTCCCGACCGCAAACCTTCCAGCATAGAGGGTTATATTTAGAAGACATGCGTGATAGAGTTTGAGGGGTAAGATACCAACGTGTTGTGATTTTAAGTTTTTGTAATTCTACTGGTAAAGATCGTGGTGTGTGTCCTGGTGAGGACCAAATTTTAGACCAGATTGCATCATCTAGATGGAGAGCATAATCTTTTTGCCAGGCTATGTGATACAATGGTTTTGCATTATTCTCTTTCTGTAATGTTTTATAAATTGCTGAGATCATGCCTCTGTTTCTATCATTAAACACTTTAATGATGACTTCTAATTCTGTGTGTGGCTGAGAGAAAATAGAGGTGAGTTTCCTATGACTGACCACATGTTGGATTTGCAAATATAAAAACCATGGTATTGGGGAAGCCAAAGTTTTTTCAAGGTCATTTTTTGGTATGAGGCCTCTGTTGTTGACTATATCACAGTATCAGGATAGCTTTGCTTCCTTCCATTTTTTGATAGTGATTGGATGGACATTCCCTGAAAACCAGGGCTGGGAAGTAAATGTGGAATATCTAGAAGCCCCAGGAAGGAGTTTTTTACAGACTGTTCTCCAGTAACTTACAGATGGGTAGAGGAATACATTATCTCTCACATCAGAAGAGGAGAAAGAGGTATTTTCCCAAATTAAACTATCTATTGTAGAGGAAAGAAGTTGGTCTGAACAAATTTGTATCCATTCCGGCAAAGAGCCCATGCGCTGCATTTTAATTAAGTTAGCTATCAGTGTCGCTTTGTAGTATACAGTGATGTCTGGCAAGCCGTATCCTCCTTGTGATTTACTTCGTCTTAATGCTTGATGTCCAATTCTCGGTTGTTTTCCTTCCCATAAAATTTTTCGTAATGTGGCCTGCCAATTTTTCAGCACATAAAGAGGCATGCTAATCGGTATTACTCTGAATAAGAACAAAAATTTAGGTAAAACGAAAGCTTTAATAAGATGAAACCTCTCTATCCAAGATAGATTTCATTTGTTTCAATTAAGTATGTCTTTTTGAATATTGTTGTGTGTGCCATGATGCTTAATCTGGAGCAGTGTAGAGAGGTCTTTGGGGAAATTTATTCCTAGATAATGGAGATGTGTGGTCGCCCTGCTAAATTTGAATTTTTCCTTCAGTTCTTCACGATCTTCGATATTAATTTGTATGGGAAGAATCTGAGATTTAGTGTCGTTAATTCCTAAACCAGATACTAATTTAAAGGAATCTAGGAAATTTAGCAATAGAGGTAGAGAAGATATAGGGTTTGTTATGTACAATAACATGTCGTCTGTGAACAGGGACACTTTGTATTCTTTGTCTTTTAGTCTGATGCCTTTAATTGAAGCATTGGAGCAGATTGGATTCGCCAAAGGCTCTATTCCCAATGCGAACAGGAGTGGGGAGAGTGGGCACCCTTGTTTGGTGCCTTTACCTAGAGAAATTGTTTCTGATAGAGAGCCATTTATTTTTATGTTGGTAGTCGGGTGGGAGTAAAGATTTCCTATTGTTTTTATGAATTTGATACCGAATCCCATATTTTGGAGGGTTGCAAACAGATATGGAAATTCAACAGTGTCGAAGGCCTTCTCCACATCAAGTGTGAGAAAGGCCACTGGTATTTTGGTACAGTTGTTGTGGTGTAAAATATAGAGTTTTAAAAGTATTGTCTGTGAGACCTCTTTGTGGGATAAAACCCACTTGGTTCGGGTGTATGTAATCAGATATGAAGGTATTCAGGCGTTTAGCGAGTAGAGATGTGAAAATGTTTTGATCTTGATTTAACGAGGAGATAGGTCTGTATGAGCTGGGTTGCATGGGATCTGTCTTTTTTTTTTTTTTGAAGGACCATAGTCAGCGCTTGCTGCCAGGATGATGGGATGGAACCTGTCTCGAGGACATGATTAAGAGTTTTGGTGAGTGGGTTTAGCAAAACAGAAATGTATGTTCTGTAAAATTCCGAGGGGAATCCATCCGGGCCCGGGGCCTTGTTAGTTTTGAGTGATTTGATGGTATCTCGGACCTCTTGTTCTGTAATTGGGCTGTCCAAATATAAGCTGTGAATTGCTTTCAATTTGGTATAGATGGGGAAGTTTTGAAGCTCTTTCTGAAACGTCTCATGATTAAATGGAGACGCTGTATACAATGTTGTGTAATATTCCTGAATTCTTCTTGTAATTTTCTGAGTATTTGTGGTGATTTCCCCTTGTGAGGTCTTAATCACCTTGATATTTTTGGAAAGTTTCTGCTCTTTTACTTTATGTGCTAGTAGGTAAAGTGTACGAGAGGATTTAATCCAATACTTCTGCTTGGTAGTATATTTTTACGAAGTTTGTCTCTAGTAAAGCCAAATTCCTGTGTTCTGTGTTAAGTAGTTTTAGAGTCTGAGTTGATTCCTTCTGTTTATGTTGCTGATCTAAAATGGTGATTTTGTTTAATATGTCTGTCTCTAACTGTTGTCTTTGTTTTTTCAAGAATGTAGATTTGGAGATTATGGTTCCTCATAATACCGGCTTCAGAGCTATCTTACTGTCCCAGAGCCTACGCTTCACTTTGATGTCTCAAACAAAAGACCCATTAGGTAGATTTTTATTTATCAAAGGTCAGTTGGAAAATAGCCTGGTAACAATCGCCATGCTGCATGCACCAAACAATGGGCAAATGGACTTTCTTAAGACTGCACTTTCCAAACTCAAAAACTTTGCAGAAGGGGATATCATTTTGGGGGGTGACTTTAATTTCATAGCAGATACCCACTTGGACAGATCATATCACTCGCCGACCTCCAAAAAACCCCAAGGAATGCTACACTGAACTAGAAGATTTATTAAAAGAGCATGATCTTACAGATATATGGCGCTTGACACATGCAGGAGAGAGGGATTACACATACTTCTCAGCACGACACAACGTGCACACAAGAATAGATCTGATTTTACTCTCCCCCTCCTTATTGAATAACGTCATCTCTTCTAAGATAGAACCCTCCAGGTGGTCGGATCATGATTGGCTAGAATGTGATCTGTCACAATTTGATCAAAGTAAACCACACAGACAATGGACCCTAAACACATCTTTATTGAGCAATCAGATCTTTAGTGAAACAATAGAACAGGAAATAAAACACTATTTTGCAGAAAACATGCAGGATGACATATCCCTGGTCTGATCGAGCAAGGCAGTTGGAGAAAAAACAGGAACAGTGATTTTGCAAGATTTGCAAAATTACAGGGGGTGTTCTAAATAAGGGCAAAAGAAATGTATGCTTGGCAAATGTACTTATATAGATATAAAGGAAGTAAGCTCTGTAGTCTGTAGACATCTATGCATGTCTAAAAGTTCTTTACTACATGGGATAAAAAGCTGATGCTGTTTGAATGGATTCCTCAGGGTTTTGCTGCCAAGGTCCCCTTTACTGCCATAAAGATCTGTCTGTGTCTGGAATCTCACTGCCTATGCTCATCATTGGGCCTTGGCACACCAGGCAACCCCATAAGGTTTTCAAGGCAAGAGACATTCAGAGGTGGTTTGCCATTGCCTCCCTCTGCATAGTGACCCTGGTCTTCCTTGCTGGTCTCCTACCCAAGCACTAACTAGGGCCAACCCTGTTTAGCTTTCCAAGATCTGACAACACAAACATGGGGTCTGGGCAACAAACCATGCCATATGTTGCCTAATGGAAAACCCCATGTTTGTCTTCTGCTTTTTGCCCACCTGGGACTTTCTGGCCTGGAACACACTCAAAAGCTTCATACTTGTTAGCTCAAGCTAATAAACAATGGGGACTTGAATTTCATATCTCTCACCAGTTACTGGAAGGCCCTCTGGTGAGTATCTGAAGGCAAGAAGTAAAAGAAGGTGAGAAATTAGTGGTTAAGCCAACTAAAAGTCCAGGCAGGCCTCTGACTGATAAATTTATGGAAAACTGGGGAACAGTTTGAGCAAAGGAATTACACCAACAGAAACTGCTGCTTGAAGCAATGTGCAAAGATATTAGGAAGGCAGACTGGGAATAGTTAGGAACTGATTAATCCTGCTTAAGCCTTTTCTTCACTCATGGACATGAAAGAAAGCTTGTCTTGCTGGGCAAGATATTGCCAGAATATGAGTGGAAGAGACAGTTGCAGGGAGATGGTGGAACTGATCTTTGACTGCCTCCCTAAAGCAATAGAAACATTTTCCTTTAAATAGAACCATCTGGCCAATGGGAGCTCATATCTCAAGAAGCCAAAGCAGTGTCTATGTTCTCCAGTGTTGCAGGAGCAAACTAAGCACTGCTGTGGATGTCTGTTTCCTCCTCACCATCCTTGAGAAGACCAGATGTGCTCTCTACCTCTGAAGTGTCCAGCTGGCCACCATGTAGTTTTCACTGGTATCCCTGAGACCCATGGGCTAGGTCATATGTCATGCTTTGTAGATTTGATCATTGATCATTTGCTCTGGCTTGAGGTGTGCGTTGTTTGTGCTAAAAATTAATGTGTTTGATCTGTAAATCTACCCAGTCTTGCCCTAATCTTGAAAAGAACATGGGGCTCTGGCGACATACACAGCAGAGTAGATTGTACCATAACAGAAAGGAAGAGTGTTTAAAAAATACATGAAATGCTACACTGCAATTGCATCTCATTCAAAACTTTTTATTTGGAAATTCTGTTGAAATTTCTATCAAAGAGTATGGCTTACTCAGATATGGCTGTACGACACGTTCTAAGACGAAATACAAAATACCAATCCAACAAGGTTTAACAGTAATATGCCCCCTAATGGTCACTGAAGCTTAGTATCCTGGTCAGCAGGTGTCTGTATAGAGCCATATTGTAGGGTTTTTTTAAATCAGACACATCTGTACTCCATTTTGCTGATAAAATGAAAGAAATGACATTTGAAACTTGAAGAAAGCCAGAGATTTTATTTTGAAAACAAGACACAGCACAACGAAAACACATCTCCAGTTACAAGACCTACTTTGAAACATACTTGGTCCTCAAAGGGATGCCCGATAAGGCATTTAAACCCAATTAGTTTCCAAGCCTTGCTGGCTCACTCCATGCACTGCATACCTTCGTTTATTGTTGGCCCTTTGCTAGTGCAGGACTTCATGCTGGAACACAAAGCACCGTTTGCTCGTGGAAGGAGCCTATAAGCAGAAGAGCACCTCTGGATACAGTCAAATTATTTTTAAACATTTATTAGAGTTCTCCAGTGTTGCTCTTCTACAAACATTAAAGAAAATGTCCCCATCCTTTACTCATAATGTGGAGCAAAAAAACCCTGCAATGAATACAATGCCCTTGTTTTTCATATAACACCGACAAGAGCATTAATACATCTCTTGGACAGAAAATTACTGGGATGATGACAGATCACTCCAGCGGGGAACTGATACAGGCTTCTGCTTTACCTATGTCTTTCCAGTAACAACTTTATCCTCGCCAGCAAATAGCTCCTGTCTGCCACTTTACACAAATCATGACAATTAGTAAACAGTCCACGAAACTTGCTTAAATTTGTTTGGTCCAACCAGCTGTTCCAAGGCTTCTTGGGAACGATCTGCAAAATACATTACAAGAATGGTAAATAAATGTGTGATGACTCACAGATTTCCTTAAAATAAGAACATGCTTGGGGCCAGTTGCTAAAAATTACAAACAGAAATTGCTCATGCACAACGGATTATTTCCAATTTAAGTTGTTTCGAGTTTCGACTGGATCACTGTTCTGGGGAAACCTACCACCTGTCAAGCCTTGCCTTGCCAAACTGAGCCCTGAAACTGGTCATTTTTGGGGATACCCCTGGCCAGGTAGCTTCCTACCAACCAATCCATGGCTAGAAAAAACCAAAGTACCTAAACACTTTTCTGACTCAGAGAATGGTCTGAAAGCACCCATTATATTGTTCTACTCCTGAAGTTAAGCAGACCCAGCCTTCAGCACTGCAGCTGGTAATGGTGGCAACGGGAGTTACATGTGGGCACCTGCCCTCCAGACAGTTACAAACATAGCTGTCCATAACATTCTATAAATATGGCTAACAATAGGGTTTACCAACCACCAGGTGGGGCCTGGAGATCTCCTCGTCTCCAGACTCCAGAGATGTTCCCCTGGAAAAAAGGTTGCTTTGGGGGGTGGACTTTATGGCATTATGGCCTGCTGAGGTCCTTCCTCTCCCCAAACCCCCGCCCTCCCCAGGCTTCAGCCCCCCCAAAATATCTAGGTATTTTCCAACCCAGAGCTGGCAACACTATTAATCATCAACATTTTTACTAGAAATGTATGGAAATCTTGAAAGTCGGTTGCAAGATCACCCTGATTCACTAATTTGATCAGTAGTTTCGCCCATAGCAAAGTGGTGCAGGGTAAATAATTCCAGATGTGTTTCTGTAAAAGTTTTTAATGTTAGTCATGTGCCCTCTTTTTCCTCCAAAGCTGATGGAATGGTATGCATAATGGTTCCCTGGTGGTCTACTCTTTAAAAGGACTGACTTTATAATATACTAGGAATGACGCTGGTTGTGGAAATAAATACAACGAGCTCTAGAAAGAGGCTCTGGGAGAGTGCCAAGGCCTTGGGCACTCAGCAACAATGTGCTGTGGTGACCTCAGCAGGGTATAATGACACAGAGTCCACCATTTTCTCCAGAGGAACCGATCTCTGCTACTTGAAGAGCAGTTGTAATTTTCAGTGATCTTCAGCCCTCACCTGGAGATTGGCGACAATTGTTACTCAGGAGGAAATGGGTGGTTGGGAGGGTGGAGTCTATGGCATTTAACCTTTCTGAGGTTCCACCCCTCCTCAAACCTCACCCTCTCCAGGTTCCATCCCTCAAATCTCCAGGAATTTCTCACCTGTTGGCAACCCTATCTCCTTCCCAGCCAATCATCAAACTACCTTTATTTCCCCCTCTCTCTTCAGCTTTCCATTTTCCCCACACACACACACCTGCAGCCTCTCCCGTGCTCTGAAGCCCTGACTGCCACAGAGTCCACCATTTTCTGTGCTCTGAAACCCTGACTGCCACAGAGTCCACCATTTTCTGAGTGATCTCCAGCCCTCACCTGGAGATTGGCAAGAATGGTTCCCCAGGAGGAAAGGTAGTCTTTCTTTGCAATGGGGACCAAAGCAGCTTACATCATTCTCCTCTCACGCTTTTGACTTGCACAACAACCCTATGAGGTAGTTTAGGCTGAAAGTCTGTGACCAGTCCAAAATCACCCACTCAGCTTCTACAGCAAGAACCTGGATCTAGCAGAACCTGCTCTGGAGAACTGACCACTACACCTAGGGCAGCCAAACTCCAGGTGGAGCCTGAGGATCATCAGGTATCACAACTGAACTTCAGACAACAGATCCCCCCCCCCGGAGAAAATAATTGCTTTAGAAGGTGGGCTGTATAACATTCTTTTCAGCTGAGGCCTCTCCCTTCCCCAAACCCTGGCTTCCATACACTCTTCCAGAAAATCCTTCCTTTGTCTGAACCGAGCTTGGTTGCCTAATGTGGCGAAACGGGCTCCAGTTTACCATTCAGCTGTTTGCCTCCCACCCTCGTCCCATGCGCGTATCTCACTCCTTAAATTCGCTGCCACAACTCACTGAATTGTCACTGCCTTTTTAGAGGGACGGTGAGACCCCTCTGGCCAAATCTCCATATTTGGAGATAGAATCCCCAATCTTTGGGGGATCCCTGGAAAGTTGGCAACCCAAGGGTCTGGCCTTTTCTTGCCTCCTTGGGCTACCCCCTCTCTTTGTTATTGTGCAGAGCAGGGGAGACTATGTGGTCAGAGCACAACACAGATTATTAGCCCAAATAAAAGAATTTATCTAACTATT